ACGTGCTGTGCATCGGTGCGGAAGTTACTCTTGTTGTCGTTATTACAGGCAATATGTCTTTGACGCTTTGGACAGCCGTGGGCCGCTAGATTACTACATTGCGCGCTTTACACAGCAGCTGTCTCCCCATCGACGAGTAGGGCTAGTACATTCGCCATTCCCTTATGAATTCTACTCAATACTGCAGCATCATAGGTGCTCTATCGACCACACAGGCTGCTGAAGTAGTACCAAAGGCGCCGATAACAGTGCAAAAGATGCGTCAAAAAGGGCTAAAGCAGAAGCTGCAGCAGTAGTGGCCTTCTTTACGACAGATGAATCAGCTAGGCACTGTGGTTGTGGCTTTACCAGTAAGTCGGTCTGTACTATTTGGGCCGCAGTTATTATTTTAACTGCAACCCTTTCTGCTTTCTGTTCGGTTTCTGTTGCTGCTGTTGGTGTAGGCCGTGCTGGTGGGTGAGGTCTTGTGGCGACGCAGCGCTTCCTGGGGTGGCGCCCCTGATGACCGCCTGGACGCATTTGTTGCATGGATGTGCAACAGTTTTCCGGCTGTGAGTCGAAGCTGCGGCGACTGCAACAGTGGCCACAGGCCGTGCAGGAACTGATGCTGCTTTTGCTGGCAGCTGCAAATACCGCGCGTAATGCAGCCTAGAGTAATGTAGCGGTCATTGCTACACGGGATGCCCTTACCGACTCCTTGCACAGCCCACTGCACGAAGTGCACTTGTTTCTGCTGCTCCCTTTGCAGGACGTGCTGGCGATCGCTGGCCGCGTGTCGGAGCTGTTATGGGAGTGCGCAGCAGAGCTGCTTCCGGCTCTAAACACGGCGGCTCCTTTCACTGAAGCAGAGAGACTCCAGCAGCACGTTGAAGAGTAGGCACATGGCGTTGTTCCCGCGGTTACAAAAAGGTTGCCTTCTATGCTTCCGTTGTTGTCGCTACAGCTGCTACATCTTGTCAAGGGACAATTTTGCTTTTTACAAAATCTCGCATTCCATGGTTGTGTTCCGTTGAATCATATTCACCAACCAACATGGCATAATCAAATCTGCGCTTGCGGCCGCTGCTTCTCTTGTTGCAGGAAGCGGGTTTTGCGTGGCGTTCAGTTCCTGCTACAGATGCTATTGTCTATCTTTGGCTTTTTTTATCTCGAACACCCGATGAGGACCAGAGCTGCCTTGCCGCTGCTCCGCGTGGCACGTACACCGCAGCGTTCGCTTGCTGCAGCAGCTGCAGCTGCTCAAGCTGATCCTGCTGTAGGATCAGCAGCAGTGGCCTTCCCTGTAGCCGCGAACAACGCCGACGAATGGCTGAGAATGGATCAGCAGCATGCAGTTTGCCTCTTAGGCTGCTATTGCCTTTCACTTTGCTGCTATGCAGGCTTCATTGGCATGGCTGTGGAAGCTGCTGCAACGCGTCGTTCTTCAGTGCACAGTGCCGCTGCTGCTGCCCTTCCAGCTACAGTTGTGTCGTCTGCTCTCACTGCGTCTGCTTTGGATGATTTTTTTGAGGGTGCAGAAGGTGCTGAGACAAAGAACAGAGGCCACTGCACCGTCGCCGAGTGGCTGCAGCATGCGCTGCTCCCAGGCCTTGTAGTGCCTGTAATTGTTGAGTCTTTGGCTCTCTGTAAACGCAGCAGCAGCAGCAGCTGTAGCAGAAGCACGTTTGACAGTCCAATATTGGCAGAGAATCTCGCAGGCGTGGGTATCCCGCGCGAAAATGCCAAAGGGCCTTGTGACAGCAGCAGTTGCATCGAGGACAGGAACAACAAGGAGGATCCTTTTGCATGCAGCCCCGAGCTGCTGCTGGCTGCACCTCTGGCGACATCACTGTCAGAGTGCCTGCGCTGCCTTCGTCAGGAACAAATGCAGCTGCGGACAAGGTAGGCTGTGGCTGGCCGTTGTGCTGGAGCTGCTGCCTGTGCTGCTGTTAACAGTTTGCTGTTTGGAGTGCCATTCTTTTAGCTGAGTATTCGTTTTGCGCATGTTTGGGTGCTGCAACGATGCAGTGAGTACCGACTGCCTCAGCTACCACTGCAGCAGTTTACTGCGCTCGAGGCCTTTGCGATGCTTCTGAAGGGAGCTTCTGCTGCTGTTGCTTCCAGTGGCAGCAGTTGCAGAAGGCCTGATGACCAGTCATTCGCTAGTGCTATGCCGCGAAAGCAGCAAAATCAGCGAGTTGCTGATGGACTGCTCTCGATAGTTTCGGAAAATCGCAATTTTTACTTTCCACTTCTGCAGGATCAGCAGCAGCAACAGGTGCACCGCACTGCTGCTGCTGCTGAGCTGGGACAGCAGCTCCAGCTACTGCAGATGTCGCAAAGGTTAGAAGCCCTTGAGCAGCAGTATAATGCTGAATCGGGGGCGCCCATGAGCATGCAGTACCAACAGGAGCACCAGCAGCGGGAAATGCTTCGGGCTCTTCAGGTGGAGGAGCAACAGCTGCAACAACAGCAGCACGAGCTGCAGCAGCGGTTCTACATGCCGGTGTGGTGTGAAGGCATTGGTTTCGCAGATGTGGGAATAGAATATGAAAACTCAGTAGCGGCAACGGCAGCAATTTTACCAAGCGTACGGTCTCGTTTGCTTGCAGACCTTGTACTGTGCGCTGCGGCTGACGGCCACAGCGACCAGCACTTCCTTAGCAGCAGCCGCAGGGCGCTGGTAAGCGCATTAGGCTGCAATACAGTGCTTCCTGTGGTAATATCGGATGAAGAGTCCCCTGAGCTCCTGCTCCTGTCGACATTTCAACGAGCAAAAGCTTAGGTGCCCCGTGACGCTTTCTAAAAGATTTTGAAAAATTTTGTGCAGAGGCAAGAGCCAACAATAATTATGAGAATTACGGTGAAGCCTCTTTGTTGCTCAAAGAGACCATCGGGAAGGGGAGGCAGACGAGCAAAGCTTAAGCGGCCAGCGCAAGCTTAGCAGGCGCTAAAATAGTGTTGGCTACCACGGGGTGGACAGAGGGGTGAAGATAGGGGTGTGTTTCATTTACACCAGCAATCAAAGTCGAGTCACAGCACAGAGGCCACTGACTTGGGGTTTGGAAACAGACACACAATATGGCTGCGGGGTACAACTTTGCGCTTGACGCTGAGTGGCTGGCCGTACGAAAGTAAAATGTTAACGAGAGGGAAAGATGGGAAGCTCACGCTCTAATACAGACATTCCCAGTGTCTTGCAGCGCTGTAACTGACGTTTCTTTATTGCTCTAGCCAATTATTTGCCTCGCCAAAATTGCTGCTACAGTATTTAGGAGGCGGGGCGCAAGCGCTGTTACTTTGCTTGCCCAGGGCTGCGACTTTGCTGAGATTTCTTTCCTTGCTAAGGTTCCAATTTTTCGTTGTTTCAGGGAGGAATGCAAAGACCTGGCTATTAGTCAGCTTGTGATGCTTCCGCTGCACTGCTGCACCAAGGTAGTATCCTATGATTATTTAAGTATGCCGTGCAGAGTGTCGAGCAATGGAGAGGAGACACACAGTGCATTCGATGCGCTACTGGTATTTTTACATACTGTATGAACCTGTACCTATTGGTATTTAAGCACATGTACTAAACGTTTGTACATTAGTAGGCAATCAAGAGCATCTTCGTCACAGCAACTCCCGCGTAGCAACAAGAGGAATGTCTCTCACAACGTCATATCCCTAAAGCGTTGAGAATAGGCCGTATTCTAATATGTAAATATTAGAATACGGCCTATTCTCAACGCTTCATCGTCCTCCTGAATTAACCCCGGACGCCCGTGGGGCAAACTGCAGTGTTCTGTCTCCTTGCAGGACCAAAGAGTTAGGCTTGCCAGCTAAGCTGCTCACGCAGTTGCTAGCGAACAACCAAGCAGAATGTCAGATAGTCGCCTTCTGTGCTGTGCGAACTCATACATCTTGACTGTGGAACCAGGGGCATTCCCATGCCGTTTGCGGCATTTATTCGATGTTCACTGATATGTTAAGGCAATACTCTGGATAGTTTTCGGCAACTTTGCTCTCAAGCATATTACAAAAAGCTCTGCGCAGACAACGAAAACCTCGCAGGATCCTCAGAAGTAAAGAAGCACTGCTTGATACGGTAGCTATCTGCAAGGGCCACCAAAGGGGCGGTCCAGTGGTCACTTCCCAGCCCACAAAGGAGCCTCTGATGTGCTTGAAGGAGGTCGTTTTTGCACTTTATATGTGTAACTTTGGTTGTATACGAAAAGATTCCGTAGTATTCCAAGACATCGCGTAGCCCGGCCTGTTGAGATCTGGTGCTGTATGAGCAGGCTGCGACTGCAGAGTCGATGATCTTGTGGTGGAGCACTTCCTGTACATTCTAAGCCTCCATTTCAGTTTCATTATTTCGTACTGTACTGCCCACAAAGTGCGGGAACTTCTGTCTTCTTCCTGAAGTTTAGGCCTGATTTGCCTTGGCACATCGTGGACCTTTCTGAGGGTCTCGCTGCAGTCAGCGTGAGAGGGATGGAGCATGCCAGGGATAAACACCTTATGATTGTTAACTCTGTAAGGACAATCTATATTGGTTCAGGATATTCACGTTTAGCATATCTTGGAACGTGCGGCGTCTCCGCTTTAGCGTGGCTCTACTGCGCAGCAGCATGACGTTACAGCATTCCCAACTTCCCATGGTGCTGACGTGACGGGAAGGAATGACAATTCCGTCCTACTGTTGTCACGGTGGATGCTGCTGGAGAACTTCCAGCGGCTCTTCTGAGCGTGGAGAAGAAAGTTTTTCAGGAAATGGACCGCGTGGGCGGAAAGCTGCCTCGGCAGCTGGCCGCACTGCTGGAACAACTCTTACCAACAGCAGCAGCAAAAGCAACAACCACTATCGCAGTAGCTATGGCTTCACGCTGTCAAAACTGTGGACGTGGTTAAAGGCCAGCGCCTTCTGCGTTCCCAACTTCTGCTTAGGTGCATGGAAAAACTTGAAAGCTTCTTGGGTTCAGAGGCTCATACGTGCCACGAAAATTTCCATTATCATCGTTTTCGCCCTCCATGTTAGCATGGAACTCACGTTCCAAGGTTACTTGGGCGCAAACTTTTTACTGCTCGCCTTTTGTCTGAGCATTGCGCTTATGCCGGAGTACAGTTCTTCTCTATACAGTGCAATTTGGGTTTGGCTACTTTCAATTTCAATGACTTGCTTTTTGACCATGCTTTTGTTCTGTGCTTTGTATGCTGGAGGCGTCGGGGGCCAGTTTGCGGCCTTGGGTGTAATTGTGGCGTTATTTTCGTGGGTCATCGTCATTCGCGTTCCGCTACTGTATCGTGTGCCACCATTCCGTGAGGCTATTGATTCCTCTTATCTGGGAAAGATTGCTCTTGTCTTTATTCCGTACAACACATGTTGTATGTTACTGAGATTGAGGATCATGATGCCCACATTTGACTCTATGAAGGACGGTGTTCAATATCTTTTTGAATATCTTTCGTGGTCAATTTTATTTGCTTTGGGCGGGCTGGCTCTCTTCGCCTTGCAAATTGTCACACCTCCTTGGAATTCGCAAAGGGCGATCGCCAGGAAACAGCTCACGAAGAATATCCAGCAAATTGTTGAGGCCTTGGAGGCACTCGACACAATGCTGGATACATTCGCCAAAACCATAAGTAAGGCAGTGCCAAGTGCAGTCTTAGACTTCAGATGATGGAATTCAAACGAGTTGTGAATGTGCACGGGATATGCTCTTTCCAGTCACCTTACTCCTTGCCATTACAGCAGTTGCGCTTTGTCAAGTGATGCGCTAGCTAGTTTTGATGTGCGGCATTGTTGCACCCAGAATGAATTTAAATTATAGCTTTGCTGCTCCGAAGCAAGGCCGCCAACCGTTGTGTAGAATAGGCCGTGGCTTGGGCAGTAGAAAGGGGGAATGGATGACGATGCGAAAGATGGATGGCAAACACTTGGGATGCAAGCAAATGTACTATCTGCTCGCTGTGGAGCCTCCCCTTATTGTGCTCCATTTACTTTGCGCAGAAACAGCAAACGTGGAGAGTTTCGGGGCTTTGAAGACTGAAATGGAAGACGCTGCAGCAGTGTTGACGAAAGCAGTTGCTCCCCTGCTGCAGATTCTTGGGTCACAATCTGCCTTGAGGGCGCGGATTGTGGAAAGCGGGAGAGAGCCGTACTGGTTATGCCCGGAGCCCCGCATCAACACCATGCCAGAAATGGCAAGACTGCAGATGGCGTTACTTCAAGCCAACATGCATCTTGTGGGGGCAGCTAAGCAGGTGTCTCTAATAGTGAAAGCCATGGACTTGTTTGCTGCTAGGCGGGCGAGGGCTCTACTGACCAACATTGCAGAAGTCCGGCAATCTTTTAGAATCGCTATTCTTGTTTGCCGGGAGGGAGGAGCAGTGCTTTCACTGAGTCGGTCCATGAGGCCTTGCACGGCTTACAACGAGAAGGTCACCCTGGCCAGCCAGCGTCTCAACCGGTTGCGAGAGCTTATGGAAGGGGTAAGGGTGCGCAGCTCTTTGGGCCACGGACCACTGACTCGTAAGCCATCAAAAGGTACAGAACTTGTGCAAAATGCACACGGGCTTCTTCACAGCACAGGCGTGTTTCAGTCGGATGATCAGGAGACTTGGAACAGTGGTGAACGGACTACTGAGACAGCTGACAAAGAGACGTCGCAAGCAGGCATAGAGGGTATTTTTGGCGCTGAGGCTCATTCTCGAATCCCTCGCCAGCAGAATGGAGGAAGGCGTGTGAGCTTCAAACAGTCATACCAACCTGGAAGCTTTTCTCAGGCTGACCATTATCAACCTTCAACAGCAGAAACCATGCACCCATCTGCATGGGGGAAAGCCATCATGAAGTCTCCGCTGAAAGTGCTGCAGCCGAAGAAGACAAATCGACATAGAGAAGCACCGTTAGTGGACAACCATGATGTTTTTCCCAACGGAGATTCGAAGGTTGATTTGAGCGCCCAAGCGATCATGCACCTCCCCAGCTTGGAAGTGCAGTCATCAGTATCGCCGTCAATGGGGTGTAATGAGCCAACAACACAAGATTCTGTGTTCGAAAATGCTTCGTTCTTTGAAACAGAGGCACAGGACATAGTAGATGCATCTCGACAGCATGTAGAGGTGATTGAAGGTGCCGGGTCACTGCCACTTGCAGCGATTCGCGTCCGTAGCTCGTCTACATTACTTTCAGGGGACGAACAGGGAAACTCTGGAGAGCGTATAAGGCAACGAGATTGTGATGAGGGGAGCTTGCGTGGAGGTGTAGTAGAGCCACTCGCTCATTTCGTTGACACGGCAGGAGATAAATTGGTTACGTCAGATGGCGGAGCGCTTGTGCAACCTGCTGGAATTCTACAAGATGCGCTCACCGATTTGCCAGCGTCAGGCAACTTCTCTGTTGGAGAGGCAACCGCAGCAGAGCAGCCTGTAGGAGCTTCTAGTGGGGAAGCTCCTGGAAAGGAGCCTTCTGCAGACGGCATCACTGCTAGTTCTTCCATGGAGCTAGGCATTCTCTTGGAGTTATTAAACCAGGGCAGCTCGTTATCGGGTAGCGAAGATGCGAATGGGACGATGCTGCACCGCTCGCCCTATTCCCTGCGCCGGCTTTTCAGAATAGGGTGTCATGAGAAGCCCTTAAGGAAAAGAGTAGCAAGGGATGCCCTGACGGACGTCATTCATTTGCCCAAGGCTAGTGAAACACCTCTTAGATATCCATCTCTGAGACCCGCCTCGAGCTCCACAGAGAAGAACTGGTACACTCTGGAAACATACGAAGAGCCATTGAAAGAAACACAGAACGCACGAGCTGTGAAGCAACAAGTAAAGCTCACCATGCTTGTGGTTTCACTAATCCAGATTGGCAGCAAGGATTCTCTAGATTTCTGCTCGGCGATTGAAGCCTTTATTTACTCAAACATGACCCCTTCCTGGAATCGTGCGTCATTTAACCCCTTTAATTTCAGCTCGTATGCGTGTAGTAAGCGTTATAGGGTGGAAGGAAAGGTGGTATGAGCTGTGATGCATCATGAAGTCATATTTTATCACTTAAATGCCGCGCTAGGGGCAGCAGGCCCCGAGGTAGTTGTGAGCATGAGCCTTGTGGGGTTTTTTGGGCATTGTATTCTGATTTCTGGGGTAATATGTGTGCCGTCACAGTTTCTGCCTTCATGCCTTCCAGGATTCTGGTTGAACATTCGCATGGTGTTTCTTTCCGGAACCGTCATGGGGATGCAACTTTCTAGGGGACTGTGGGATTTACTCTACTTCTGGAAATGGCGCTTCACTGGGGAAAATGCGTGGTACAGCGACGTGGACACTGTCCACTGCATCAAGTACATCATTGGCATGACGGCCCTTTACGCTGTCGGAGTGTTTGCGGATGAAGAAATCACGATGTGGCTTGTGGGTAGGCAAGCTCAAGTTCTGCAAATTTTATTGAGATTTGGGGGTGGTTCTCCTAGGATACTTCATGCAGGAATAACAGGCATTTTGTGAGGAGTTGAAGTATTTTCTCATGCGTGCCTCAGCATTTCCATGAGACTAGGGGCTGGGGAGTCTTCCCAGATTTTACGATTTGCATGAGTATGGTTTGATCCATTTGTTGGCACTCATGGACGCCAGCTTTTGTTTTTCTAAATGTGCTGCCCGACAGGCTCGGTGGATTTAAACAGCGCCGTGATGCCCGTTTCGTCTTGGATGATTCTTGGCTTTGTCAGCACGATGAAGTGGACATTTGAAGGGACAGTGCACACAGCGACGAGCCGTGTTTTGGGGACTTGCTTGGGCTGCGCATGCATCTACGGGGCGATGATGACTACAAACAGTTATGAAGTGATGCTGGCGTGGAACTTTGCTCTTTGTTTCGCCACGTTCTTCATCTTCGCCAATCCAGCTGACGTGTACAGTTCTTTTCACCCCGAGTTTGGTCTGATTGGTCAGGTCTTCTTGTGGACGTGCATGTTCATTTTCCAGACAGTTTGGCTGAGGATGGATGACAGCTCTGACTCTCCCTCTGGTACGGCGAACATATTGTCTCCGCCCTACCACTCCATGCCGTCTAATAGCTTCATGAATTCTTCCCACCTTCTGCTGCCGCTAGATTTTCAAGCGGACGGGTAGACAAACAGCAAATTTCTTTGGTGATGTGTGCTTGCCTGCAGCGTTGAAGCTCAACGTAACGAACAGTCGGTTATGGGGGAACATTGTTGGTATTGTTACCGCAGTTGCAGTGTCACATTTCCCTCCTTATTTTTCTTCAGAGACCGAGGTCCGGTTTATATGCCAGTCGCTGATGGGGGATTGCAGCCGCTGCGTCTCCCTCATAGGAGCAGCTTTTGTGCGCAGCGTTTGTTCTTCATCATCGGTGAGCTTCGAGGGAAGAAGTGGGGGTTCCGCTGCTCAGAAGAAGCTGGCCCAACACTTCGAGAATGCCGCTGTTTGCCCCCCCGAAGTTGGTACCTCATTTACTCAAGAATGTGGTCTGCAAGGCCGCGTAGATATCCAAAACAATTATGAGCCTCCTTTTCAGCAAAGTGTTAGGGGAAATCATCTCCCGAATTCGCGAACGTGCACTCGCAGAACAGTAATGGAATGCCCTAGGGTGGAAAGCCCTTGCATTGGAGATGCCAACATTCAGCAGTATCATCGAGGTAGAGAGGCGAAGTGGAGGAGAGGCTTTTGCGGAATCGGATTTCTAGCATTGCCAGAGACCTTCATGAGCACCCCAGTTGCTACTGGTTCTGCACATCGTTACAAGCAGCTCAAGTCTAGACGTAACGCATCTAGGGAGAGACGGAAAGGACACCTCAGCAAAAAGTTGCAGAAACCCTACGGGGCTCTGAAAGTTAGCCCGTTCGCTCGGCACTTTCGTCGCCGACACAGGGGATCCAGACAAGTGGCATCGTAAGTCTCTCATCTAGATTGCTCCGAGCACATCTAGTAGCAGTAGACACCGGAATAAAAAAGTGTACATGCAGTGTGTTGTGCCATTTCACGCGGGATATGTAGCGCATAAACTAATATTCTACCCAGAATGAATTCCCCACGGAGCTTTGAAGTGTCTCTTAAAGGCAGTGGTTTTGTATCTGAGTATTTCGTCAATTTTCCTGCTGGTCCGTGTGCTATTCGACTGACTGCCATAGGTCCTATGAGTGCCTGGAGATGGCTTCTGCTGTGCTGCACCACTCGTTCGAACCCAAGCTATTTCTATGCCGCCGTTTGTTTATGGAGGGCACTAAGTGCCCCCATTCGCCCCTTTGGTGGGTCGACGCGTCGATGGGTAAGGTGCTGGACTTAATGGATTACGTGAGGATGAGCATCGCCGACAGCTGCCAAGATTTCAAGGACTGCCTGCAAGCTGCAACCGTAGATCCAAGCCCACACTTAGGTGTCAAGGCAACTCTTAATCAATGCAGCTTGCTGATGCAAACGTCAAATGGTACGAAGGTGGTCTGGCTGCATCCTGACATTTCATTTCGGGGCCCTCTTTAGAGTTAAGGCCCCAAGAGTCTTCTGAGCAAAGTAGCTAGAGGTTACTCACGTATTGTCTGCGATTCATTTACATCACGCTTTCATTTTAGTGTGCATTGATCAACAAACTATGGCAGAAGTCTGCAAGGAGGAAGGCGCTGGGTTAGTGTACCAAGGCGCACTGAGTGCGAGCTGATTTTTCAGGCCGGTCCCTGAGACAACACTTTGTTAGGCTGATTGCGCTTCAAAAGGGTGCATACATGGACATTGGCAGGGAACTTGTCTCCGGACGGATTGGCTGTTGGGGTAGAATGCCCGCGTACAGCGCGTGTGACTGTGGCAGACGCCAGGTATCGGAGATTTACCTCATCGCCGCTAGAGTAAGCTTCAAAATTGTGAACGTAAAGCACCGAAGTTGGCTAATTAAGAAGTCTTCGTATTTATATACACGCAGTAGGGACCTTTACATACATCAACCATTCCACGAAGAGTTGTTTGAATGCCATAATATGTGACAACTTTTATGCATCTATGGTAGCTACAAATCTTTGTGTTTGTGTGGCCTTAGGATTACCAACGTAGAAGGGCTTTGATAGAGTCGACGCTCAGCGCGATCTTGTCAGACGTTGTACAGTGCTCGCAGGAGCTGCGGCGGCAGACAGGATACACGGCACAAGAACGGCGGATGGCCTTGTCAGTGTTGCTGCTGCTTCTGCAGAAGATTGAAATGAGGCACGCTGTCACGGATGACATTCACATTTTTATTGCAGAGTGTATAATGAAGCGGGCGTTCCCGGAAGGGCATTTGAACGAATTGATCCAAACGAAGAGTTCACTAATCAAGAGGCAAAGCACCAAAAGGCATCGGCACGTTTCCTTCATGAGGAAGCAGCAGATGCTGAAACAGTCAAAAAGGAGAGGGTCCTGCCCAAAGACCAGTGGGGCTTCTTCGCGTACTCCATCCATCCACTGCTCAGTGCCGCGCGATCAGTTGTAACTGCGCAATGGGTAGACCCCAAAACAGGCGGACTCAAATGGTTGTTTCCTTTGGCATTATTGTAAAGGCATATCCTTTTGCTTTTACGTAGTGAATTGCCTCTGTCAGGGTTGACTGCTTGTACTGCCTGCTAAAAGTTCACATTAGCATGAAGCAGCGCCCGTGCTGGCTCTAGATTTGCAGCTACCGCTACTTCCATCCTCAGAACAGCAGCGAAGGCGGTGTTGTTGGACATCTGGAGCGATTGTGCTGCTATTGTTGGTGTCAGAGCTGCTGATAAGGACGCGAACCTAGTAGTAGCTGGCGTCAGCTTGTGCTCAAGCGAGGTTGGGTTGGTTCCCTGATGCCTTCTATGCAAGAATGCGCTTGTGCGCCACCAGCGTATCCGTGAGAATAGCTGGTGCGGTCGCACCGCGGAAGTAGAGTAGCCAGTCGTGTGGCACTGTTCACGTGCTTAATAGTATTCGGGGAGGGACGGTTTCGCCGGAAAGGGACTGGTGGCAAGTTTGCCAGTTGTGGGCAGTTGTGGAGGCAGTGTACTGAAGTACGAACACATGAAAGGCGGACGCTTTAGCATTATTTAGCCGGCGTGCTGAGAATACGATGTTGCGGTCCGCGATTCAACTGGGACCCATATGTACTGGTTTTCGCTGTTCCCGACACACTGCTTATTGCACAATATACGTCTGTGACAGTAGAAAATCTAATTAGTCTCATGAAGTAGAGTTTCTTTCTACTTATCCGGTAAGTGGTAAATTTCCAAGGAAATGCATGCAGGACGCCAAACGCCAATAACTCTCACTGAGCGACGGCGATGACCACTGGCACTTAACCTGCATGGCTGCATGTTGCTGATGTTTCCGTTGGAAATTAATTTGTTTTTGAAAAAGCACTATTCTGTGCTTTTGTTCCACTCATTTGGCGAGGAGAGTGTGTTTACAAGGGAGGGGTGTCCGCCGAATAAAGCTTCCACCGGAAGCAGCGCAGTTATGTGCCTCTTCCAGCGCCCTTGCGGTACACCAGATTAGTACTCGTATTATGATTTCATTTCATGGAGAGAAATTGAGCCAGACTCTTTATCAACGGATGAAAAGGGTGACGACCGACGGTGCGAAGAACGACGTGACTCTTCTTCGGCACCCATACCAACTGGTGTACACTTTCCCACGGTACACTGCGCCAAGTGAAGGTCTCACCTGCATCTGCTTCAGTCAATTTTACCTTCTAGGCTTTTGACCTTATTGTGGAGCAGCATACCCTTGGGCACAGTGCACAATCCATAGCACGACATTGCACAATTGAGCCAGCAACTTCTGGTGACAGGCATGGAGAATTGGCCCCAGGATGACCGCGGAGATGCTCGGACTGATAAAGCTGAGGGTACGGGGAGTGGTGACTTGTCTGCGGGTGCTGCCGAAGCAGCAGACACCTTGGGAAGTGCCGGCATTGGAAATTCCGCAAGTGTGTACTTGGAGTCCATGGCATTCAACCAAGATGGCAGCTGCTTCATTGCTGGCACGTCTGAGGGGTTTAGAGTTTACACGAGTTCTCCTCTTACAGAGTTTGTGCGCCGTGAGGGGCCTTGGTGGCCAGACCGTGGGGTGCACACAGCAGCGATGCTTTTCAGGACGAACGTATTTGCAACAGTCAGCAAAACGCAAAACAGAAAGGTCAAGCTCTGGGACGATAGCAGGCGAAGATTTATAGGAGAACTGAGGAGTCGGCAGCCCGTTAAAAGTGTGTGCCTGACTCGGGATGTCCTTGCTATGGTGACGGACTTCGTGGTAAGCGAGCATCGGAAAAATAAGAAATTATCCTGCTCCTGCATGCGCGTAGACAGAGTGGCCGGTGTGTTTCTCGTTGCATTTTCCAACTAGAGCAGTAAGGCGTATAGCAGTCGAAATGAAGCATCTTCGTTCAAAGCGATACTTTTCACGAAGTGGCTATTGTAGATACATAACAGAGCTTTCCGTCACATCCAGTGGTGCACTTGCTCGTCTGCACAGCTCACAAGGTTTTAGCAATGATAGGCATTAATGTCGAGAGCAGTTTTGCTGCTGTTGTGCGTTGTTACAACGTGGAGTTTCAGGTGTATGTGTATCTCAGCGACCAGATGCGTCCGATTAATATAATCCACACAGGGAACAACGAGCGGGGCTTGTGTGCGCTTGCAACTGGAGGCGCGCTAGGGTGTTGGCTTTTGGCGTGTCCCGCGGTCGCCGTTGGTGCAGTGCGTGTGCACAGCGGTTTGTCGTCTGTGTCGACTGAAACAGATGATTCAATAAGCCAGGAGCCTGCTCCTGCAAGCGTTACTAATCACGTCTTTCAGGCGCATAGGACACAACTGGCCGCTCTCGTGTTCAATTCACATGGAAGTCTTGTAGCCACAGCCAGCGAGAAGGGGACCGTTGTCAGAATCTTCAGGTCGTCAGACGGGCAACTTTTGCAACAGCTGAGGCGGGGGACGCAAGTATCCCTCATTAGTTGCATTGCGGTACGAGGAGATGATCGTTTTGTTGCAATTGCTTCATCATCTGAAACCATCCACATCTTTCAGTTGAGAAACCAGCAGCAGGAGGGAGAAGGGAACCACTTTTTGAGTGCCGAATCTGAGATCTCCAGCTCGCTCACTCGGAGTAGCGGCTCTCCAAGTAAATCTGTACAGTTGCCAGCTGCACTGAACTCAAGCAGAGAAATAACGTCGGCCGTCTATGACGCATCCAGGGAGATAGTGCAAGATGCAATCAAAGTAGGCTGCAGTGCCCTTCAGCATGAGCAGTATTTCGGTCGTGAACTGAATGCCACACAGCCTGTATGGGCAGTAATTTGACTGCTCGCAGACAGAGACAACGCGCTGTCTCAGTTGATGATTGTACTTAAGTAGCTGAAAAACTTTCTTACTCTGTGTTTTGTGTAGGCTTGTATCTTTTTCTGTTCACAGATGAATTGAACAGCGGTTGCGCAGAAATTTCATAGCCTCTTCTTGTCTGCGGATGTTAATGTAAATCGATTTTCTGTCACGATTAATTTCGGCACACCAGGGACTACGTTGCCATTACTTCTTTTTATGTGTAGGGAGTTCTCGGCGGATACTTCGGCGCCACACGGAGCTTCGCACAGTTCCACCTTCCCCGGGACCTCAAGCTGCTGGACAGTCGGTCGCCTTCTTCAACAATTAGCGGTCCGCTCGTTGCTTTTGCAGGTCCTGTCTCTAACCATCTTTTCCTTTTGTGTCCTTCCGGGGTTTTCTGTGAGCTTCTCTTCGATCTCAACAAGGGTCAGGAGTGCACACTTCTGACTGCTAGCACATGGTTTGCCCCAAGACCCAACTTCCGCATTCAGGTGAGGAGATCCGCCGGCATTAAGGAGTTGACCATATACCTTGCAGAGCTTGACTGGTGCGCATGCAGGCTGCGTCAGTGGCTTTGTGGTCTACCGGGTAGTCATTCTAAATGCAGTCCTTGCATTGTCCAGAATTGTACCCACAGTTGTACATGTTACGTTCAGCTCTATTTGTAAGCATTTTGTTCAGACCGCAGTAGGTATGTTGCCAACTGCTTGTGGTGCCGCAGTCTCATCTGGGAACAGCAGCACTGCCTTCTGAGCTGGAGGGCGGCCACGACGGGGATCAGTGGCAGCTTGTTCTCTGAAAGGCCAAGGAGCCCATTCTCCCCTCGCTGTATGTTACAGCGATGCTGCGGTTCATCACGGGCTGGATTGTACAGTTACATTGTCGGCACCTTCTGCACGAGTCTTACGAGCAGCAGATGCCTGAAAAAGCTTCAGGGGCATTCGTACGGCCGGAGCTAACCCGAGGCCACGCACTGCTCCTCCATGGCTGTGTGTGGCGAGGCTATTTGGCCACTAGAGTAGCTCATGTGCTCGCGTCATGCGAGTATCCTAATACTGAAGCGTGGATGGCCGGCACCGACCTGTAAGTCTCTGGAAATGTCAGGGAGCGGACATTCCTGAGACCTACAGCGCTACGCCGGCCATCCATACTTCTTAGGTTAACAGGTCACTCGCACGGCAGTTTCATCCACTTTCCATTCAAAAAAAGTAAGGTTGGCAGGTTCACCTGTATGGAAAGGCTGTCTAGTAAGCGAATGCTGCTTACCGGTACTCATGTCAACAGCATTTCATACTCGCTGATGCAGCGAGCGGTGCATAGCGCCGTAGATTTCAGCACAGGCAGCACATGCGGGTGCAGGCACCTTAGTTGCTTAGCAGCAGCCGCCTATCTGCGGCATCTCTTAAGGCATCCTGATGAGACAACGGGAACGCAGACCACACAAGCACGACAAGCTAGCTTTCAAGGTAGTGCGACAGTACACAAGAGCGGCTGGTTGTGGATGCATGTAACGTTTAACCCTTTTAGGGAAATGGCGCTTCACCCCTCTAAAGGCTCCTGCACATTCTGCTGCTGTAGATTATGCCGTCGAAAACGGTTGCAGAATGCACAGTCCTTCACTAGTTGGAACGCTGGATAAGTGAACGGACATGGGTCTGCGTGAACAGTCTATTGTTAACGGCTGGTAGGGAGTGTGCATGTGTGCTCAGCGCAGTCCCAACGCTCATCTGGCTGCGTTAGGTGCAAACGTCACGTATCACGCGTGCTAGTAACTTCCCCATGAGGAAAAATCTGTCGGCACATCTTTGCCATCTTTGCGTCTGAGAGTGACACATGAGCTGATGTGAGAGATGCTACCGTTAACTTTTGAGCAACATCGTGGTTTCACTCGGTGTAAGGATACATGGTATAACTTGACTCGCGACGCGTGTGCTGCAGAGGGTCAGAGCTAGTGGCAGGAGAGCAACAACAGCGACAATTCCTTTAGCGGCGAAGCAGCCTCATCATACCTTCATGCATTCCGCAGTCGCCAAGCATCCCCGCAAGCATACTTCGAACATCTGAGGAACAGTGGAACATACCAGAGTTCCAGGAAGTCCCCAGTATTGGCAGCAGCTTCCGGAACTCCCATAGCAGTCGCTACAGCATTCTATTTTCACCAGCATGACACGCTGCTGGCACGCCAAGGATGTCATCCGCGGACTCTGAGCAGGCCCCCAAAGCTTGGGAAACTTAAACTATGTTGGCTGGGTCCAGCAACTGTGAGCTGCCGCATCCCTAGCTTGGGGCACAGCATGCACACGTCTCTTGGTCTCACTTTTTCGTATGTTTGGCGGTCGACTCGTCCGGTAAGTTGAAGTGCCACAATCTGCGAGTTGTTGAGAGACAGAAGGTTCAGTGGCTACGATGAACGTCTACGGCAGGAGCCACCTTACTTCCAAAGGTCAAGTAGCACCACGACACAAGTGACGGCACTATACAGAGCACGGGTAGCATCCACGGAAAACTAACAGAGTGGTTGCATTTGCGTTGCATTTGCCGATAAGTCCAAGGCGGCGAACAGACCTACATTATTCGTTTCTGCCGTTACTCCAAGCGTTAAGCAGGGGCCTCCACTACGCGTCTCATCACTTGTGGGGTCAACTAGTAAAAGTGGCTCCTGCTGCTGCTGCTGCGGAAAATGCTGGGGTAGCAGCAGCACTGTGCACGAGGGCAGCAGGTCCCTCATAGCAACACCTGCGCCAGCAGCAGGGGCAACCCACTTTAACTACGTTGAGTATCTGGCTCTTCTTAGATAGCAGTAGGACTCGGCTGCATCACTGTGAACAGAAAGATGAGCCCCTTAGAGCAAATGAATGCAGGGGGTCCAGCTGCTTCAACACACTACGCTCCAGTACTATCTACGTTACGTTGGATGTGTTACCTTCGGACCTGCACCTCCCCGTAAAAGCATGCTAATGGGCTGTACCTGCATCTGCCAGAGCAAGAGAGGCCGCAATCAGGGAAGCTGACAAAATGCCTGCAACAAACAAAATTAAACACACACGGAAGAAAACATGATCCAAAGATATGTGCTACAATGGCAAGCGTGCACATGAAGCTGATGAATCCAGGTATATCCACAACTTCACTCGTGCTCAGACCTAAAGGCTTATTGCTTACTCCCGTCGTCTGCAAGGACAAGAATTGATATGGTGATTCGTGTTTGGGTGTATAGACGCCTCAAAATGATGCCTTCTGCTGCCGTCCGCACAGCTGCTGCGATTTCTGCAGCGTCTGGGGTGTACCTGCTCCTTGTCCTCACACAACTATCGACTAGTCCAACAGAGCAGACAATAGAAACCGGAACAGCAAGCTCGCCTCTCGCGAGTCCTTGTTTGCCTTCATGCATCATCTGCATCGCTGCAGAGGTATTGTCCGTGCAGCTGACGCTCCAGGTATTGCTGCTGCTGGCGCTGAGAGTGCTCATATTGCTAGAGGGCTGCGGTCCGTATACCAGAGCCATGACTTTGGTGCAGCCGAGGGATACTACTGCTCGCCCGTCGCAGCTGGCAAGACTTCCCGACGCGCCCGCAGTGGCAATCGATGGCCCGTCTGGCACCGCAGCGGCTGTAGGAAGGTCATTTGCCGCAGCCGATGGCACAGAAGTGCGGCAGCGTAGCTGCCGACACTCGTGCACTAGCCGACCGTCTGCACGGAAGCCGCACGGAGAAACAGCCTCCGCCTTGAACATATTGACAAAATAAAACCAGAAAGGGGCGAAACTGCCGCGGCTAACGCTCTCCCACTTAAGACAGGTAAGCTCTAATCTCAAGTCAGCGATGGGTTTGACAAGTAAAGAAGATGCCCTGATTTCGGTATACGAAGAACTGCAAGTGTCCCGACGGGTCCGAGGCAATCAGTCTCGAGACAGACGGGCGGGAAGTCAAAAGCTCACAGATACTACGGCACAAAACATGTGTCACGTCTTAACAACACGGATATTGTATGAACAAAGAACGGGTGACGTGGTTTCGTGCTCAGCTGGAAGGCCTGCATGCAGCCGGGAACTGTCGATACACCTGGGAATGCGGCAGAATGCGGTCTGCTTTAATCCCCATCATACATTTTAGGAAATACCGTACATGTGCTTTAAATTAAAAAAATGGTGGCGGATGCTAGGGTGTACTTCAATGTTGAAGCTTCAGGGCTGTCTGTACTCTAGCAATGCTTGCTGCATGCTATGGAGACGCATGCATGTTGAGCCAAAGCATCCCCCCAAAATTAGCTGTTTCTTAAACCATATGTTTCAAAGCAGGAGAATGCTAACAACATTAGATTGTTTGGCTTTGTCATGAGAGGGAGGTGCCCTGCTGTAGCTTTGAATAGCCTCCGGTGCATGCAAGAGATCAACACAAGCCAGTTATCGCTGGAGGCCATGTTGCTAGTGTCTCGTCTTTAAGCGCTGTTGCTATGACGTAACAAGCTTCTTGCTTGTACTGACGAAGGAGTGACAAATATCGATGCCACAGGGAGGAACAAGCTCAAGATTCTTCGCTGAAGCTGATTTGTCTTGCACCACCAGCGCTTGCTTTTCGCCAATCAGCCGGAGGCAGCTTGCTGCTCGCTTTTTATGGTCGTCATTCCACACTTTTAAAGATTTTTGTCGTAGCCGTAGGATGATTTCCTGAGGAGAAGCGCTGCAAAGGTTCCCAGCAAAGACCGCGTTGCCGTAGCAGCTGCAGCACTGCTGCCGCAGCGGTCGTGGCAACGGCTGCGATAGCAGTAGAAGCAGTGCGGCGGAGTGTGCGGTTGGGCTTATTTTGGTTGGATAGACAGAATGGAGAGCTACCCCAGCCAGGGAGCGAGCGACTATGGGCTTGCTGTCGGTTCAAACTCTCCCTCAAGGGTGGGAGATGAAAACGACGAGCTGCAGCAGCAAGAAGACCAGCACGACGAGCAGCAGCAGGAGATAGACTCGGAAGATACCTGGGCAGTTGTTGGTTCTTTTTTTGAAGGAAAAGGTCTGGTCTCGCAGCAGGTTGAAAGCTTCAACGACTTCGCCAGCTACAAGTTGCAAGAAATAATCGACGCACATCCCCCCATAGAAATAAGGTGCAAATCTAGATTTTTTTCTCTGTGTAGACGTACATTTGCATGGGCTGTGGATCCCTTTGATTCTTGCTGATGAATCCAAACAACCCTGTGCACATGACAAAAGAGTTGTGGCGGGTTGGGGGTGAAGGAGCACTTCACAAATTAGAGAGTTGTAATGATCTACTGGAAGTACAGCTCAGCTTTTTCGTTCTGAGTAACCAAAGGTCGCTACAAACCATTCCCTTACTTCCTGGTCAGTTGCGTATTGGGGAGTTAGACGGTTTGCCGTCTGGACTTCGAGGCATATAATTTAGGTGGCCGCATTTAGGAAAGTGTGCGTATTGGTGCAGGCCATCTCCTCAGTACCGGCCTGAAGAGGATGTGGAACTTGACGTTCGCTACCGACTTAAGTTTGGTCAGCTTTCTCTAAACCGCCCAGCCGCTCAGGAGAAGGAAGGCATGCAGAAGAATTTGTGGCCGCAAGAGTCACGCACCCGAAACCTGACCTACAGCAGCTCTCTGTTTGTCTCTATTGAACAAACCACATACAAGATCGACCCAATTACCAACGAAGAAGTGTGTCATATGGTGCAGGGTGCAGATTGACCACTGCAGCTGCTGTTCTTGCTTGTTGACGCCCCATTTGCAGGCAGAACTAGATTGCGTGCTTCAGGCCATGCTGCTGGGGTGCATCTGGACGGATGGAATATGCATAAGCAGAGTTGCCCGTGCGGTAGCCGTATTCTTGAAGCAGTAGGGATGGTTGGGTGGCTTTGTGATATCTTGCCTTCCCCTGTCAGGAAGGTGGAATTTACACGAGTTTCTCTGCTGTATGAACTTGCAGATCGTCGAGGAGCGTCATTCTTACGAGCGCGTGTGCTTGGGGCGCTTGCCGATTATGCTCAAGTCTTTCTATTGCTGGACCCATGACATAGCAGCTGAACAGCTGCCAGATGTGGGGGAGTGTAGTTACGATCAGGGAGGCTACTTCATAATTAATGGAAGTGAAAAGGTTGGTAGAATCGCCGTTTCCAGCTGTGGACTACAAAGTTAGCGCATTCTCGTCTGCTGCCGGGCACCGCCCACGAGAATGGCATCGTTTTCTGTTTTGCAGGTGTTGGTAGCGCAAGAACGGATGGCCTCAAACTTTGTTTACGTTTTCAAGAAGGCACAGCCGTCGAAATTTTCCTGGGTTGCTGAGGTAAAGTCAGCTTTTGGGCATGTGCTTTTCCTAGGAAGAAGCAATTGAAACCCAGGGGTCAAAACATTTTGTTGGATTAGAGAGCTGAAGTGATTTTGGCGCCAAAAGGAGTTTGCGCAGTGCATTTGGTGTAACGTTCACCGTTTTTACAACCTTGTGCGTGATGAGGCCTTGATGTGGGAGCTACTGGTGTAAAGTTCAGAGTGTTTAGACTGCGTCACTGCGCAGGTAAGGAGTCAGATGCAAGGAAATCAGGCAACGAGCGGCTTTGCAATCAAGAAAAGAACCATGACTGGAGACACTGGGAGAGGAAAAGGCGCAGGCCAGCTGGTTGCTGCCCTACCGTACATTCGCACAGACATTCCTATCGCTATTCTCTTTAGGGCCTTGGGGTGAGCGCTGTACGATCCCTAGCTCATGAACGCGGTTCAAACCATCAGACACAATGGCTGCATAGCTCTTTTAGTTACCTGAAGAGTAAAAATTCTTATATCCTCCCGTATTCGGGGTTTAGAACGGAAATTCTATGGCGGAGTGATTTTACTTATACGGAGACTCACGTCAACGCGTTAGCCATGCATGTGCGCATGCTTGACAATTTATTATCTGTTTTATGAATTTCTGTCAGCTTGTCGGTTGGCCAATATTCCTTTGGCGAGCAACTTTTGGTCGTGCCGTTTTTTTGGTGTTCCTTCTTGCAGCTGCGTGAGTGATCTGGATATTCTCTTGAGGGTTGCATATGACACCCGTGACGAGCAGCTGTGCGCTTTACTGAAGCCGTCTCTTGAGGAAGGCTTTGAGTTTCACACCCAGGAGGCCTGTCTAGACTTCATTGGCAAAAGGGGCCCAACAGTGGGGGCTCAAAGGGAGAGTCGGCTGCAGTACGCGCGGGAGCTGCTACGTAAAGAGGTGCTGCCCCATGTTGGAACGGAGCCGGGATGCGAGGGCAAAAAAGCCTACTTTGTGGGCTACATGGTCCACCGGTTGTTGCTGGCGGAGTTAGGCAGAATTAATCAAGATGATAGGGATCATTTTGGAAAGAAGAGGTTGGATCTCAGTGGGCCGTTGATGGCAGCTTCTTTTGGAACGCTCTTCAGGAAACTGGTGAAGGACGTAACGCGAATTCTGCAGAGGCAGATTGACCACGGCAAGACGTTTGACGTCGCGGGTGCTGTTCGGAGCGCGAGCCCCATCACGCAGGGACTGCAGTACCAGTTAGCTACTGGAAATTGGGGGAGAGACAGGGAGGGCAAGGTGGTGCGCACAGGCGTCTCGCAGGTGCTGAATCGCCTGACGTTCTCCTCCGCCCTCTCTCATTTAAGGCGCCTCAACACCCCTCTCGGTAGAGAAGGTAAAATGGCAAAGCCGAGACAGCTGCACAACACTCACTGGGGTATGATTTGCCCTGCTGAGACACCTGAAGGGCAGGCTGTGGGCCTCGTCAAAAATCTCGCACTCATGGCCAAAATTTCTGTCGGTGCTCCTACTAAAAATATCCGGGACTTCCTTGAGGTGCGAGCTGCCCGTATTTAGATATCTTACGTCAAACGTAGACACATTAAGCCCTGCACCAGCAAACCCCCTCTCTCTCTGCCACGGTCGCTAAGTTGTATTATGTAAAGTATGGCATCACGCAGCTCATGAGTTAGCAGGTGCTTAACCTAAAGCAGATTTTCCTTGCGACTAAATCGTCAGCGTCATTGTGATATGTTTTTGGCCATTGGTGTTGCAAAGCGTGAAATATTGGCAGAACTTTGTGATTATGCCTCACCACTTCGGCTCTCCCCATAAATAACTTCTTAAGTTGGTCCAGTTGCTGAGAAACTGACGGGATTGTGTTTATTTTAGGATTGGGGGCTGGATGGACTAGACGAAATATCTCCAGAAAGTATCAAAGATCGTTGTAAAGTTTTTATAAACGGAGACTGGGCTGGATGCTTCGATGAAGCTGAAACTCTCTGCAACACTCTCAAGGAAATTCGCAGAAAGGGGCACATAAGGAATGACACTTCAATAGTTAGGGACATTATCAATCGCGTGAGTATTAAAGGCCAACTAGAGATTGACCTTTTGTTATTTTGCGCCTCACCCTACCAAGTCAGCACTTGGACAGCCTTGCAACACATCTTTGTTGGCAGGCCGTCGTAGAGTATAGCTTCTCAGGATGGATCTGGTGTCTGCGTTTTCTGGCTTTTGTTCCGTTGGCCCCTTCAGGAGGTCAAAATCTTCACTGACGCCGGACGAGCTATGCGGCCCCTTTACGTTGTCGACAGTGTGAGGCTGAACAGAGGCATTTAATTCGTGCTGAATGTTGACAGGTTCCTCCAGTTGCAGTACCTAAAGGAACAGGGAAAGCTAATCATTTCTGAATAGCTGATGCAACGGCTTACGACCATTAATGTAGTGCTGCTTTGGATGTGTTTAGTGTCTCTGCACTGGAGGCAAGTTCAGTTCGCTCGACACTCTGCATCGATTTTGTTTTGCGCTTTTGGTTTCACCAGGACACGGGCCAACTGCGAATAAGAAAGGCAGATGTAGACAAGGTTAGGTCTATGGTTGGAACCTCCGAAAAGGGCGCAGGTTGGAACCACTTGATGTCCTGTGGTGTTATCGAATACATCGACTGCGAAGAAGAAGAGACTTCGATGGTGGCCATGTTCCACAAAGATCTCTCTGAGAAGGGGAAGTACGCAAGTGCCAACAAATTTCCATGTTGTCCGCAAACGTGATGTCGCGCGTGTCTGTATATATGCAACTGCAAGTGCTTCCAATGGCACACACTCGAGAGCAGGGCTTCCTGTAGTTGGATGAATATGTGAACAAGTGTAGACATGCCAACATGCGTATTGGATGCATTTCGAACAAACAAGGAGTGAAGGGCATGGTAGTTCTGCTTATCTTTCTCTCTTTTACACAGGTCGATCCCATACACGCATTGTGAGATCCACCCTTCGTTGATTCTGGGAGTTTGCGCTTCAATCATTCCATTTCCGGACCACAACCAGTCCCCTCGTAACGTTTACCAAAGTGCCATGGGCAAGCAAGCCATGGGTGTATACACAACAAATTTCAACTTGCGCCTAGACACGCTCGCGCATCTGCTCTACTACCCTCAGAAGCCACTAGTCTGCACTCGAGCCATGGAACACCTCAAGTTTCGAGAGCTTCCTGCGGGCATCAACACTATTGTGGCAATCTTGTGCTATTCGGGTTACAACCAAGAGGACTCGTTAATTATGAATCGGAACAGCATTGACAGGGGCCTGTTCAGGAGTCTTTTCTGTCGCACGTATTGTGCGGAAGAGAAACAGCAGGGATCTATGATTGTGGAGGGATTTGAACAGCCTAACCCAGAAACAACCTCTGGTATGAAAAGGGGTGACTATTCAAAGCTGGACACGGATGGCCTTGTAGAGCCTGGATCAAGAGTGCTTGGAGACGATGTCATTGTAGGGAAGGTATGCTACCATGCTGGATTCGCTGCGTCATATAAGTGGTGACAGAGTACTCTCCTTCAGTCACTAAACGGCATTCTTGTTTGCAAGGTAACATAGGGTTGACAAGGCCCCACTCACACCTTCTGCGGGTTCGGGTGCCTTCTGAGCAGACGTCTCCAAATTTTGATGACAATGATCCACTCGCGCCTCCTGGAGCAGAGGCCAATCTCTCCAAGACGAAGAAGGACTGCTCGCTTTGTCTACGATCATCTGAAAGTGGTGAGTGCGCTTTGATGCTTGCGCATGGAAAGTGATTTCGCACTCACTGAAATGGATCTAGTTCATTTTAAACGTCCGTGTCTCTTCGTGAGGGGTCGCGTTCATAATACAGCACATCCAAAATTTGCTACAGCAGCCAATCATTTTACCTGCGGGCTCCAGAGGGAATGCGTAACTTTTTTTTGGCACGGTGCAAGCCTACTAGTTGTTTGCGAAGTTCGCTCTTCGTTGTTCATATTGGTGCTGGTGGACAAGCGAGGTCTTCATTGGCATGGATTATTTGCCTTGTCGTAGCTTTGGGCAAGCATACAGTTTAGATTACTCCCGTTGTGTGACTTCTATGAATATCAGGGGTCGTAGATACAGTTATGCTGAGCGTCAACTCCAAGGGTTCTCGCTTTGTGAAGGTGAAAGTGAGGAGTGTCCGAATCCCTCAAACGGGAGATAAGTTCGCGAGTCGGCATGGCCAGAAGGGAACCATTGGTATCACATATAGGCAAGAAGATATGCCGTTTACGGAGGTACTCACTCCCTTCTTGTTTCCTCGCTTTTCCCTCATACCGATGCCGTCAAGTTTCGAACGTACTCTAACTGCTTTGGCTGCCATAAAAGCAGCACTCACTCTGAATTCTCCAAATATGCAGGCTGGACTATTTCCTGTCACAGGATGGCGTTGTTCCGGACCTGCTTATGAATCCGCATGCGGTGCCTTCTCGCATGACCATTGGTCACCTTGTCGAGTGTTTGCTTGGGAAAACAGCTGCCATCATTGGTGGAGAAGGAGATGCCACTCCGTTTAACGATGTGAGTCATAGCGGCTTTGCGTTAATGTGCGAGTTGCACATGCGTTGTGTAACAAGAACAGCCCCAAGTGTACTGAGCATCCTGCACGCATGTTTGTAGGGATTACGGGGGAACTCAAGGACGTGAGACTTTTACCTCTTCTATTCTTGTCTTGATCTCTCCGGAATTCTTCCGTTGTAGTTGGTTGTGCTCTGTGGAACAGCTTTTGTAGTGAAGTTCCTATTGAGGTTTCTGTCGTAGTGTGTGTGCTGCACTTCAGTACACTGTCTCTTGGATCGCTGGAGAGTTGCACCGTCTTGGCTTCGAGAGGCACGGGAATGAACGGCTCTATCATGGTCACACAGGGCTGCATATGCCTTCACTTATATTTATTGGGCCGACATATTACCAGAGACTCAAGCACATGGTGGATGACAAGATTCATGCAAGAGCAAGGGGTCCTGTCGCAGCACTGACGCGCCAGCCTATGGAGGGCAAGAGTAGGGAAGGTGGTTTACGTTTTGGAGAGATGGAGAGAGATTGCATGATATCACACGGAGCAGCGCGGATGCTGAAAGAGCGCCTTTTTGATCAGAGTGATGCGTATAGGATTCATTGCTGTGATATATGCGGCACGATGTGCGTAGCTGACCTTCAACGGCTAGCGTTCGAATGTAAGCTATGTGGGAACAGCAACAAAATATCCCAGGTTTACATACCATACGCATGCAAGCTCCTCCTCCAGGAGCTCACTTCGATGTGCATATACCCGAAGCTTGTCCTGCAGGTTGCGTAGCTAATGTCTGTTGAATGCAACAGTAGCGCGCATTGTACAGAGTCAACACAATCTGTACATGTTTTTTTCATGGGAACTACATGGGTTCGTGCCACAGCTGCAGGACAGTGGTTTTGTACGAGCCAGTGCGACAGCAGCAGGGCAGTGGTCGCTCACACGGAAGCGCGCGTGAATATTAAGCCACCTGGCTTGGTTCAGTATATCGAGCACAGCGGTTTTCATTTCAACAGCTCACGCTATGCACTACTAGTTTATAGCAGCTCGTATTCTGTAAAGCCCGCGAGACAGAGGGAGTGGTTTAGCAACCAGGAAGCTAGGCATTCGATAGATGTAAGGAAGTACAGAACAACAAAGAGGCGGAGACTCTCCAAACGTAGTCCCTGTGGCAATGCGGTGGGATTTCCCATTGTCTACGACAGCTTGCCCCACGGGAAACAACCGTGCAAGCTATGCGATGGTCCACAGTTCTTTGTAGTAGCTTGGCTCGATGATTTCCGAGTCGGATTGGGGACTTGGGAGCTGATGACGGCTTCCTGTACCACGATGTTTCTGTGCAACCAAAAGAAGGAACGGAACGCCTAGTTTCGCGATACAGCTCATCCCCTCTGGAGGATAACTGAGTTTCTCGCCATTTGAGCCTAATTGAATGCGGCACTGCCGGCTATGCTGAAGACTATCCCACGCTACTTCTCAATATTTCGTGTTCCCACGCACGGAAAATGTAAGCCAGTGAAGCCAATCTCAGACTTCATGCCCTTTAAGTTAGAGCCCCTCTGGGTGTCTTCTTACGACAGGCATCACGCGGCCACTAGCTTCCTCTCAAGGGTGGTCCCCGGTTGGCACCTTGTGATGCACTTATTAAAATATTTACCCGTGACACCTTGTGGACTGCCCGTTACCAACCAGGCAGCAGAGCACGGGATAGCGAAGATGAGAGGGCTCGACGGTCGCACGTATCGGATTACCCTGGGATTCTCTTAAAACCTCGGATTCTCTTGCGAAAAGCCTCAGATTCTCTTAAGACCTTAGTACAAGCAGTTGTGAAGTGGCAGGTTAACGCAATGCGGCTCCTCATCGAGCACAGTAGATCAAGGAGTATGACCACACAATAATGATACACCTGGGCATAGTATTTGTGGACAAATTGCAGCTTAAAAAGGGCTGGCCAGCTACTAAAATCACATCGGGCTAAGTACAGGCTTGATGCGAAAGATAACACCGGACAGGGTGAACAGCTTGTAAAACACGAGGCGAGACTGCGCAGTACTCAGTATACTCGTCATACGCTGCGGGATAAACTGCTCAGATTTTCCGAAATGTTAATATTTGCTAGCTACGGAAATAAAAAGAGAAAGAAAAGAAAAGTCCCAACTATGCTTTATTCTCCCACGCCGCTGTGCGGATCGTACAACCAGCACGTTCCACTATCTGCATTACAGTGAGATACACAACAGAAGTAGTCCATATTTAATCATATTTATCAGTTAATAAAAATAAAGACACAGCAACAAAACTATCGGAAAGTTTCTAATCGGAAGCTCGTCAGGGCGACTCTTCTCCAGCCCCAGAGCACGTTTTCGGACACTCTTTGGATTCACTCAGAAGCAGATTCGAATAAGGATGCATGCCTTGTTGTATACATGAACGGTGAGATTGACCCGACTGGAGCGCCGCAAAATCGGGTTTCTTCCAGCTGCGGAGGCGTAGGCTGGGGCCTAGCCTTTCTTCCCGCTCGTTCTCCGGGCTGCTTGAGAAGTTCCACTGCTGAAGTAATCGTAGTGCTGTCGAAGTGCTTGCTGTTCTTCTCGTGGCTGCTGCAATGCCCTACATTTTCACCCACACTAGGGGGAGACTGCCACGCCGCAGTGTCGCTGCACTGTAGGTGATTTGTCCAGGTCTGGCTCCTATAGGTGCTCAGCTGTGTTGCCAATGGGCACACTGGTGCCTGTCCCGCCGGCAAGCGGGGAAGCAGGCCCCGTGGCACTCGAGTTGCCCCCCAAGCCCATCCCTTTGCCTCTTAGTGGGCAGCTGAATCCCTCAGCGTTTATCACAAACCTGTGGCTCAGCGTTCGCGTCTGCCCTTGTGGCTTCTCCCGCACAGATTTGTTGCTCATCGCGCGCAGCCTGCCCAAGGCAGAAGTGGGAGCAGGCGTTTCTCAGCCAGTAATATTCCGAATGCAGCGACCGGCTTGCACTGCCCTGCTATCGCCCACTGGGACACTATCCATTATGGGTGGCATTACGAAAGAACAAGCCCTGTGGCAAGCCTACAGGGTTGCATACAAGCTCAAGTACAGGATATGGTGGAAACCAGTAACGCAGGTGCATTCCGCCGTAATTAGAGAGTGCAGTTCTTGTTTGACTCTGGCTAGCAGTGACTTCACTTTCACTGGACTCATCAGCTTTGTGTATGTTCTTTTATTCAGGGCCATGGTGTAGGAAACTGCGAAGATCAGCCAATAGTGGAGTACGTTTGCAATCCTGAGATAGAGTTCAGCCCTGAGGCATCGTCAGTGCTGCAGCTCGTTTGTCGGGTCGATTTGGGAGGTTCTTTTCGGCCCGATATCCCCACTGTGCTGGACCATCCGCAGATCCGCACTGTCGCCATCGACACAAGAGATGGTGTAGCGGTGCGCATTCCGCACATCCAAGCGTCCACTGCCGCTCAGTGCCACAGTGCAGGTAGTGCAGTTGCGCTTGATGGTTTCGGTAAGTTGAACGACAAGCGACACGATGGAGGTTACTGTTGCTTGCCCGCAGGCAGCCTGAGCGGTTTGGCTTCCCATTGATTTCCCACGGGGTGACTTCCGTGTTTTTGCTCTCTCAAGTTTTTATCCGTTTTGTCTCTTTTTAGGTGGAGACATGCTCTCCATTGATGCAGAAGATGTTGGAAGAGAGTTTCGGGGAAGGAGAGCAGCTCGAGCTAAAGGACCTACGTGTTTGATATTTCGAACGGGAAAGATCCTCGTTTTGGGGTGCAAAAGCCCCGAAGAGATAAACGCAGCAATCGACTTTGTTTGGCCGGCGGTTGTAGGACTGTAACCATGACAAGAGTGGGTATGTTTCTTGCGCTACCTACGGCGCGACTCTCTCGTTGTTTGCCTGTCGCTTTTTCTTTAAATGTTGTACACTTTGAGGCAAGCCCATTTGCTCTTCTCTACAATGCTGTTGTGGAGATCCATGTTTGCGTCGTCCTTTGTTGCTTCTTTTTTTCCTCAGAAGGGGATTTGGAATGAACGGGGAGGCCCTTAAGGCTTAGTCATGTTGTTTGAGAAGGGAATCTAAATCGACGAAGAGTCTGCCAGCAAGTTCTCCACCTTCGCCGTGAGGCAGGCTGCTTTCTACTGTTCCTCCGCCTCCTGCGCGGCTCAGCGTCAGAATTTCGTGCTCCTACGAACAAGTATACAAGGAAGCAGTTCGTGTTTTTCTGCAGGAGCTCTTCTGTGCCAAGGGCCTCAAGATGTGAGCCGTGATATTTACTTGGCTGACCACTATGTAGTACAAAGGCTCGTTTAAATGGATGCTGTCAACATTTGGGGGACTGTAGGGAGGTTTCTGGTAGGGGTATTTACAATTTGACTTACAGAGAGTGATCCACACAAATTTTGTCTTAGACAATCAATCGTTACGCGAGGTCCCGATTCGATCTGCAGTAATCAAGGGTGAGCGCAGTCTCGAGGCAATGCATCATTTATCAGAGCAAACGGTCTGTCATTGCTATTGAAATGCAGCTACGATAAGTTTAGTCGGAACTTTCCAAGAGAAGACTACACTCGCCTTAATTTTTTTGAGCTCTTCAGACACCTTGGCACATACTTCGCGCACACTGGATCGTGGGTATTTTTCCGTGTGCCTTTCCATGTGCTGCAAGTTATTGTCAGATAGAAGAAAGATATAAGAAGAAAGATAGACTCGACCAATCAGGGTTGCAGCTTACGGAGTAGCATTAGATATTTTACCGTAAACGTTAGTAGTGCTTCCTTTTGGCTGCTGACATCATTTGAAACTAGCGTGGCAGCTGCGGCCGGCCCTGGTTTCTATCTTTATGATGAGCAACGCTTCATTTTTTCTGGCCTTCATCCCATCCCCTACTTTGACTAGCTGCTCTGGGATGAAATACCTTCATCGTACGCTCATCGGCAGCAGTGATTCTAAACTTAAATCCATTAAGATCGACTTCTGCTCCAACGAAGAAGTCTGCAGCTGAAAATTTTCTTCCTGTTTGGGGATTCGTCAGAAGGGCGGATTCTAAGAATTTCCCTCCCGCCTACCGCAGGACCACAGCTTACAGAAAGTCTCCAGTAGTAACAAGCCGAGGTGATTCATGCAAGGAGCTGAATCTAGCAGCCTCTAGGACAAATTTGAACAAGTCTACAGGTAGATTTTTCGCTTTTGTCGACTAAGGAAGCTTGCTAGCGGTGCCTTTAGCTTTTTTTAACTGATGCCCTGGAAAAAACGCAGCTTCTTCAAGAAGCTCTCAGTACGGCGTGATGACGTACATGGCCAGAGTTGCGTTTTGAATATTCATACACCATAATTTTGTCAGTCAGCTCACGAATCGAGATTCGGAACTCCCTTCCCTCGTCTTCTCTTTTTGGGCTAATCAGCTCCGCCTGTAGGCCTCACAGACGAAAATTTGCGAGTAACCGCAAGATCCAGGGGAACAAAAAAAAACCATTTTCTTTCCGTGAAAAAATGTGTGTTGCTCGTACGGCATTGTTAGACGAAGACCTTAGCACTGCAATGTTAAATTTTGGCTATTATGTGCCTTTTCTATCGTGAACTCAACTTGCCTGGAAGGTGAGGGTGAAATCTTCTCCAAAAAGAACGTCACGCTCGTTATGTTGCGGGCGTTTAGGATTCTGCGGATCGTATCAGCTTCAACAGTCCCCCTTCATGCTCAACTGACACTGCAGATCATGCGTGTTACGAAAGGCATGTAGTGGTTCTGGGACGGCAAAGGACTAATCGAAAAAAAGGGTTAGCTGATCATTTGTGCCTGAGCTGTCTTTGTTCTTTCCTTAGTGCGTTCCATACTATTCTGATGCAAGATTGCAGCGTGTCTTCGTCTGATCCGATTCCAAGGGCGTGAGGAGGCCATGTGATTGCTGGTAAATCCTGCGAGAGACGTAAAGTTCAGTGGCCTTTTGGAATAGTTGAAACGAGTCCCCGCAGTTCTGGCGACGTCGCTGCAAGAACATTGATACAATGTGCAGTCTATTCGACCACAGAATCCTATTTACGGGCTTCTCATCTGGAATAACTTCTTTGCCTTGTTCGATATTCAGGTATTCACGGTAGAACTGCCGTGTGAACCCGTCACAGTCATAAATATGAAATTGACGCCCGTAGACTTCTATGTCCTTCCCGACAACAAAGTCCTCTGGCCTGAAGCATTTAAACCCGCAGAGACTGAAAAACTGCCGCTCTTCGCTTTAAACCATAGGGTCTGTGTGTAATCCACCGGCAAATTAGCATCTTGTGGTCTTACATGTAAAATTCGCTACGGCCCTGCTTATAATCAGACCATGTCAGCTCTCCAAGTTTCTTCGGTAGCTTTCCCCTCCTGTACGCATCATGAAGATGAAGGTCAGCAATCTATGTGCTTCAACAACTACTCCGTGAGTTCGATTTGTTAACGCAACATACTCAAAGCTGCTACAAAGAGGCGTTAAGGTTGGAGAGAGCTTTATATTAGCTGCGCCTTTACAATCTTGCAGGCAGTGATACAACGGTGTGCATCAAGACGTGTGTAATATATATACTGTGAAATCGTAGGCTATTACTGGGCACGTTAATTTGGAAAATTGTTTGCTGAACCAGAATGTTGTGGTAGGCCTGTGTGGACAGATAAACATAGCGTTAGCTTGCTTCTACGGATGACCGCGTGGAGCAAGGAGCTGGAAAAAGTGATACCGTAGGAAGGTAGAGTGGTCATTCCAGCCGGAGTTCCTGATAGGGCTGAACATGATCTCGACAGAGTCATCTGCAGCGGATGACAGGAGTTATATGCTTACAAGGTCACACTTAACAGGCTAGGTGATTCTGTCGGTTCTTCGCCCAAAACAAGTTCCTGTATCTTTGCTCTGAAATATTTCAGTTTTCAGTGGAATCCATAATGCTGCTTGTTTCAGCCACAGCCAGGCAAGGGACCCTACTGTGCAGACATTTCAACTTCTTCGCTAACCGCTAAGGAAATAATGAAGGTTGTAGTAAGTACGGCACCCGAAGTTCTGTTCGTTTTCCCAGTAACAGTGGAACACCAAAACCTTGCTGCAGTGCAATCAAAGGAATGCGAAAGCCTTGCACACCAGTGCCGTAGCGTCATTTCTGTGATTTCCGCGTGTATCACTGTGAACAGGTGTACATTTGGTCTGCGTCAAATTTTCTAAGTAAGAGTCCTGCCTATGCAGATTAAATGAGTTGAGTGGCTTCACTGAAAACACGAGGAATCGGCTGCCCTTATAAAGTTCTCACCGATCGTTTCTAAGGTATTGGAGAAGGAGCTTGTTTGAACAGGTGTTGCCAAGCGAGGCCTCCGCATAGGCGCGAGCTTCTCGAATTTCGTCTTGAACCGAAGGTGGCGGAATACAAGCAGGACGGCGCTTCATTACAAACGACCGGAAGAAGCTATCATCGGGGATTTCCACTGCCTCACCGATGTCATGTCCTGGGAAGTGCCACATAAAATAGGACGCGCGGCTTTAATTGAGGTGCTTTAGTTTTCAGGTTGGGCAGAACGACTACACAAGCCTCCAGATATGCTTCGGCGTTAAAAAGGGACAAGAAAAGCTGGTTTGCTTTTCATCGAGTGAAATTCATAAAGAAAGTTTTGCTAGGACAGGTAGGACAGGTGGGCCAGCTCTTTTACCTGCATGTGTACAGAACCACCGAGTGAATTCATCGCAATCGACAAGCCTAAAAACGCGATCGTAAAGCTCCAGGTCACACCCAAGCTGCAAATGTTGCACAAAATATCTGTAGCGCTCCATGTCAGTGCAGCAAGTCGCCCAATGCGTTGCCGCATTTACTTCAACTGCTCTGCTTGCCTCAGAACATTCATATTTTACCTATTGCAGTGCTACACTGTCCTCTTTCTGCTGACCTTCAAGTCAGTGAAAGTGACAAAACCCATGCCATCTGAGCGCGGTATCTTATGTCTTTTCAGGATGTAGCCTTGACGTGTTTTGTCATTGTCCGTTGTTACTTCGAATACGCTTAGAGTTCCATCGGACAGATGGAACGAAATGACGCAGTAGCGCCTTCTGGTGTTTTCCGTTGCACTTGCGTTAAACGGCTCTTGGAAAAAAGCGAAGAAACGCAGGGACTGACGATCATGCTTCAGCCATGCCGGCTGTTGGGTCGGTCTGAATGGAGCGGCACGTTCCAACTTCTAGGCGAGACCGCTAGAGTGATTTTCAAGCAAGCAGCGGAAAATTCACTTCACGTACCCTTATTTAGGTGTTATAAAACATAGAGACTAGTCAGTAGTCACCTGTATGAAAAACGTGCCGCTTCTTTTGCAGCCTTTCTTGCATCATGGGTAAGGTGGTGTGATTCCCGTTCCTTCGAGCCACTCTGACTAAAGGATATCCACTCCTGTACAAAACGAGGAACACCTAGTAAATCTAGGATTGCTTTTACCCTTAGCGTATCACTGGGGCCTCCACGGCAGCAAGGTGACCTGGCTGGTGCTCTGGCCTCCAGGTGAGGCAGCCACCGTACACTAATGGTGGGACGCAGGGGAATGAAAGAAGCTGACCTCCTCAGTGATACTTAGAGGGGGAGGCTTCTGTCTGTCTTGCCGGCCCGATGTTGTGACAGAAAGCGTCTGCTTTTTGAAGTACTTCTCTCGCGCGCAGTGGTCAATGATCTGTTGTTGCTGCTTAATACTAAATGGCAAACAGAGGGCAAAGCCCTGCTGACCTGTGGAGACCGAAGGCCTCTGAAGATCCATTTTGCATGCGCTTTTTTTGCCAGGTTCTACCGGTGGGCGAACTTAAGTTACGGCTGCTGCTCAATAGCGGCGCCGCCCCAAGGTCACCTTCCGAAAACCACTGAATATTTCGAAAACCGGAAAGGCGAGCCTCTAAATTCTGATTATTGCTAATGTGCTTCGGCAATTACTTTTTTTTGACTTTTTTATCTTTGTTGCTGCGTGACACTTGAGAATACAGCTGCTGGTAACACCCTTCCGTGTCTAATCCCCTCCGTGGTTGGCATGCAAGATAAGACTTCCTACAATTCATTTATGCGATCAGCTACATCTTGAATTTTCCTTTAGGTCCAGCTGCAGAAGTAACGTTACATTACGAGCAAGCTGCTCGGAGCTGGCAGGACTCCCCGGGGCTGCGGCCAGCTACGTAGTGCACGAGCCTCTTTGATTGGCAGCGGGAAGGATCGGCGAAACCAGTGGCACAAACTAACTTGGGAAAACATCTGCCCAAAGGACTTGGTAAATTTGACTGGCTGGGTGAGGCTTGTTCCTCCCGGAACAGAACTCGTCCAACGCTCTGCTGTCCCAAGCATTGTGCTTTCAGATCAACGTGAGCGGCAATTCGCAAGGCAAAACAAAGTGCAACATGGAATCGCGCTCCCGTCCAGTAAACTGGACGGACAGAAAACTAGCCGAACAGACTGGCCATAACAGTTGAGAAGCCATGCTTGCCAACGGACTTAAAGCAATCACGTGTTCACGTTGAGTGCTTGGACTACTCGGACAACTGTTTCACAAGAAGTGATACAACAGAGTTTGCCTGCAAACTTTGCACATGAAGTTCCGTGTTGCTTAGGAGCTAAAAGATAGATTTAGCGGTGTCCAAAATGTGCCACCTAGCGTGGCATTTGCAACGAAGCTGTGGAGCCTTCAATACTGTCCGAAAGAGCTTGGAGTAGGAAACAATACAGAGCAACTTGCCCCCAAAAGAATGATGAAACGTTTCGTTGTGAAAGTGCAAGACTACAAGCTCGCCTCCTCAGCACCTATTTGCAGCACTACGTTACAAATCAGGTTGCCACGGGGGTGCCTTCCACAGGCAACTGCTCAAATAGCATTTAAAAGTGTGTCTATGCTGTAGATTTATTGAAAGCTGGTAGGAAAAAGCTCAGGTGGACAGGCCATGCAACTCCAGGCATACCTTCTTTCTGGGCTGCTCACTGTCCTCACGGGCTAACGTATGATTCATATCACACTGGAGAATCGTTGTGACATCCACTGACGCCTGTTGAAAATTGGCAGCAGTTTCGCCCACCTCCACTGCATGGGGATCTTGACTCTGCGAGAGCTGCAACCCTGTCATGCCATGCTCGACGTCGCTTGCTGGGCTCCCACCCACGGAGCCAAGGCAATCAAGACGACTATCTCTGAGCCAAATGCAAGCGGCCTCCGAAGATCCTAGTGTCATATCCTTTGCAGAAAGGCGTGCAGCGGAATCCCCTTCACAATCAGCTTGCATTTTGGGGACTCCCTTGTTCCCTTCCAACCCTCCATGTTGCAGTGTCTCTTTGCCTTGGTCTTCTGTCTTTGGAAGTTGAAGAGAACCTGCTAGGGGTGGCAGAAAACGCATTTGCAAAGTCTTCGCTGCTTTGACCACTTCAGCTTCGGATGCGCCCTGATTTGTCGAGAGAATGTTAAGGTGCTGCCGCATCAGTCGCGCCACCTCGGCGTCTGTTAGTTCTTGTGCAGTATCATCCTGGGATGACGATAGCACACCTTGTGAAACTGCAACTGATTCCCTGGAACTTTGGAAAGGCTTTTTACTGAGCATCCGTTGAAGTACTAAGTGTAAATTGCAGTCGAAAAACAGTTGCCTGTAGCCTCGGCGTGAGCTCTGGAGCTGCACTGCCGCGTCAGCAGATGGTAGGTTTAGCGGGGACGCGTTGCAACTAGGAGCAAAGCCTGACGAGCAAGCAGGAGATCTGCTGTAATCAAGAGCCTCCTGAGGAGAGGCCCCGCTGTTGTCTGCCATTCGAACTCGGGACCACGGCGCAGTTAATAGCTACTTTTTGTGAACATTTTTTAGTACACTTGCGGGTCCATTTCAGCCACCAACGTCTTACAAAGGTCTATTTTCCCATCCCCTGCGTTTACTTCGGGAGAAGTCGTTTTCACACCTTTGCGAACCATTGCAGCGAGGTTAGACGCACTTTCAGTGTCCGAAACGATCTGCATCGCCACACACCGCGAGAATCATTCGCGATTGCACAACTATACTCAGAGAGAGCTATTCTTTCATGGCGTTTCGAATGGGGAAATGCGGAGGACTTGTCCGAAGCAGTGAAGAGGCGGATCGCCGAAGGAGCCCCTGTTGACAGGTTTCGTATTGTGCTAGACGATACTCACAACGTATTTACATTTGGCACTTGAAATAGCAAAAATGAAGTTAAACGCGCAGACGTATGTTGAAACACTGCGGCTTCTGTTACGTGAGTGCCTCCCTCACTAGAGGCCCCCCTTGGGGCCCCTCTTAAGCTTCAGTTGGCCATTATATGCAGTCACATTCAGCAGCCATCAATTCTCCAGATGTTCATTCTTACATTTTTCTATCTTCAGCGTCACCGTACAGTTCCATGTTAGGGCTCGCTCTCAGCCACTAAATCCGCAATTTATGGTCTTCCGGAGGTACTCGCCCTGCATACTATGAAGGACTAAGATCTCTGTCTGCGTTTTCCAAACAGCAAGCCACAATTTGACTCTAGTGGGCTCAAGCTGAAGTAAATCCAGGGAAAGCCTTCCTAAGATCGCCCACGACACGCATCCCTGCCGATGAGTTTGTTAAGGGTTCCTCTTAGGACTACTCCCCCAAAAAGCATCTCACCTTCATCTGCAATTGCACAAGATGCGTATATAGCATCTAGGAGAGAGAGTCACCGCTTGCCAGCGAGAAATGCATGGAAGCCAAGGGTTCGCGTTGCTTTTTCTTTATACGACGGCGCTGGTGTGATACAGCACCACGTACAACGCACAAAGCCCATCCCACACTGGGAAAATGCATCATCTTCCATGAATTTGACATTTAATCAACGGCGATGCGTCTTCACCGCTGCATCGCACGCAGTTCCTGGTGCTGCCAGCCCAGCACCTGCCGCTAGGAACCTGGCCCCGGTGGCTGACAACCCTGTTCCTGTCTCTGGCAACCCTGTCTCTGTCTCTGGCAACCCTGTTTCTGCCTCTGATAATCCTACTACTGCCAACGAATCCCAAGCGCCGCAGGCTCTCCCGCAGCGTCTCACACCAAGGGAAGAATTCATTGAAGCTCTTGAAGTTTTCAAAGAGAAGGCTGACTCGGGCTCCGTATACCTACTAGAATCCGTAAGCCAGAGCTGTCTTCACGCAGACAGACTTGGGTATTCCGCTATGGTTCACGGGGAGGTAACGGTTCTGGCGCTGCTGCAGCATTATTTGATGCTAAGAGTACAGCAATCAGAGAGCAAGGACGGCCATATTGTTAGATTGCTTTTTCCTTAACGTGGGCCGGCGGAACTACACATCATTTCGTATTGTGCATGTACACGGTTACGTGTTGCTTGCACGCAGCGCTTAGAGATGGCTTTTCCAGGACATGCAGATGCGGCTGCCAAGCTCTCCATCATTCGCCAGCTAACCAGGGACCTGGAGCTGCTAAATAGAGAGAAGACCAGTGTATGAAGGCCAATCCAGGCACACGCCCGTTGTCAGCTGACTTCGAGTCACTACTCTAATGATTGGTCGCTGTTAGGTTTGAACAAGTCTGTTTGACCTTTCACTGAATAATTGGTCCATTTGTTTTGTGTGGCGCAGCTCTCGATGTTCCGTCATCAGACTCCCAAGGAAATACGAAGTGAATACACTCAAATGATGCTCACGGGGCTCTTCACTGGACTAGCTGCAGCTATCCATCCTGTGTTTTTTATCGTACGCATGCGAACGATCATGAGTTCTCCGAGCAAAAGCTGCCAGTGCGCCTAAACGCGTTGATCTATGTGCAACGGCTTATTTTAGTGGATGTGCTGATGTCAAATCAGGGCAGCATATACGGACTGGTTCGAATGCGTAGGACCAAACGAGCTGAAGTAGACCGCGACGGTGAGCATGAAAACAGATTGCACAGGTTGGACGTGCCGAGTAATTACATTCGTTCAAGGAAAATAAGCGCACTAGGCAAATGCACGGCAATAGCTAACGCCCGCAACACGCACACTGTGCTCATCTGCTCTTCTGTGTCTACAGCGGGAACGAAGAAAATGGATGAAATCAACCAGATTGTAAGGGAGAAACGGGCCCTTTTGAACGTTCAAATTGAGGGGCTGTCTCAAATAGTAAGGGTGGATACGCTTTATCAGAGCTTTCCCTGCTTAAGCGTCACGCCCTGCTATAGACACAGTGTACTATGCAGGTGTAAACTGAAAGCCTAGCGTTTCAGCAAGCTCGCTCTGACTATTAGTGTTTCTAAGTCTAGCCAGAAAGCAATCATTTTGTATTCGACATGCCAGTGCAGAAATATGCACACTAATTAACGTTAAAGAATGAAACTCGCACAGAATAATCGTTTAATTTCCCGTCCGTCCTAATTCTCTTGTGCCACGTCATCACAGGCCAAGAACGCTCGATGTTACTGATAGCAAAACTGAGAAGAGAGCAACTAGTTTTGATCCGGAGGTGTTTGATTAATACTGGGCGCATATGGACCTTTTTCGAGAACAATGACAACTCAAGCTTCGGTCGTTCAACGCGTTGTGCGGCCCCGTTCACCTAGACAAGGAATTGGGTCCGCCGAAGCAGGGAAAATTCCAAATACTTCGTTGCCGTCCATGAGAGCTATTTGGGGTTTTGTTGGAAGCGGTGTAGCATAGCCAACTGGGAACAGCTTCCTTTGGCAAGGTGAATGCATCTTTTGGTAGCGTGTCTATCCGTGGCGTATGTACAGGACGCACATAAGGTACCAAACTCCGCAGGATCACCTCTTCACAAGAGTGGATCACACCGCGTGAATACACTGATACGATCTTACCAGATTTTCTTTTGGAAAGCGGACTGAAAAATAAACATTTCTTCACGGTGTAGTTCGCAGTGTAGGATGGCTGACAAAGTTGCGCCCATCGGAACAGGCAAGCGGCGCTTTACTCCTTCGTCATCTTCCCGTGCAGCTACATTTGCCATTTGGTCTTATAGGACATACTACCCGCCGTTGTTTTAGGGGGTCAAACTGTGGCGAAAATCGTGCAACGGAACGAAATGCAGTTGGACCTGGTCCAGTGAACTGCGCTCAACAAAGTGCTGTGTTTCCGTCCTCCGATACTCCCTGGGCGCATGAAGATGGCTGTTATTCCAGTAGGACTGCAAAAAGACGCTCAACAGTTGGTGCTTGATGGGAACTCTTGCAGATAGGAAGGACGTTGCCAGCTTATTGGGCGTTATTGCAGCTCTGACGCGGGAGCTGGAGTCTAGGAATGAGTATATAGAGTCGAACATACGCAAGATGGCAGGTGTGTCCAACGAGCTCTTCGACAAAGTGAACAGTTTTAACTGTTTCTCAGCGCTCTCAGGGTCCCTGGAAAGAGCGTTGCGTTTCGAGTTTCTGTGGACTCGCACGTGTGTATTGGAATGGGCTGTTTCGATTGGAGCGATTCTGTTCATTGCCTGCCTCTTTGGAGCAGCATTTTGCTGAGGCACGAATAACTTGGTGGCTTTTGGGCACCTTACCTCGATTTTCCACTAGTTTGATTCCGTGCCCAAAAGCTGCGCGCAGTTAGATGTGGATGGCGCAGCCTCCGAGCTTCAGCAAGTGGCTTGCAGGGGGTCCCTAGCACCCAATGCTCAGTGAACTCAATAAATGTGTTTTGAATTGGAAAGGTTGGAGCTTCATGTGCATTGCGGTGCAGGTCTCACCCGTCTGCGCTGCATGCCTTAGCACTGGCTGAGGCGCCTTGCTAACTGGAAGTTGTGGGGTTGTTGCTCGTGTAGATAGATGTCTTAGTTGTTTCGTGCTTCTTGCTGCTGTGGCAGTTGCGTCATCGGATGCCCATGGCGCCTCCTTGCACCGTTTTTGAACGCCTCGAGGCCATGAAACTTTCTGCCACTCAGGTATACTGCATGAAAGCGACTCAAAAAGGCATAAAATGAGAGGAAAATACCAGCTTCCGTTAATTATCAAATTTTTCTTGCACTTTCGACCCCGCCCTAGCTTGCGCAACCAATTTTTGGAAGGAGGTATCACAGTAGCTCCTGGATGCAGGATGCAGTGTACTCAAAATACCCAGGAATGGCGCAGTTGGTGCTGGGTATTCGCCGAAGTACCTGCAAAGGTGACATGCCCACCTACTCTCCAGCAGGGAGGAATAAGTACAGAGTGCTCTGATGCCTCTGTTCATGCCAGCTCAAGCACCTCCACAACAGTGCAGCAGGATTAAGTGGTGTTGCCTGCTGCGCTTATGCACAGAAATGGCCTTCAGAGCCCGCATGAATTGAACGTCCTTGGACGACTGAGCAATGATGTGACACTTGTGTGTGTTCGAGTGTGGGAATTTGGAGAGGTCGTACTTGTGATACAGACTACACCGGAGTCACGAGAGCAGCCGCGTCTTTAGGACCTTCTTTTGCGTCTTGAAGTTCCATTTCATCGAGATGAGGCTAGATAGACGACAGTGGCAGGAGCCCTTAGGGTACATTACGGGCATTGCTCTACAACAGGACGCACGCCATCAAAGTCACCGTGGACAGGGGAAGTGGGGAGCTGGTAAAGCGGCGGCTACATGGTAGACTCTACCACTACACAGCAACGATTTTTGA